TGCCTTCCTGACAGATGTTGTTTTTCTGCTCATCCCACACAAAAAGTGGGAGCGAGGGGCAAAAGTGTTTTCACTGGGACCCACACAAAGGGGAAGAGCACTGACCTACAGCCTGAGGAACACAGTTGTTTATGTTTGCTTTGCATTTCTCTGCATCCTCTTGCACTTGTGGTTAAAGTGAGATTTTTTGGAGACAGGACCAGCCTGTCTGACTAGCTTTGTGTGCTCAGTCAACAGAAGGTCCAGCAGGGACCATTCTGACCATTCCAGCACAGCACAGACTACAGAAATAAAATGCTCACATGCACCAAACCCTAGAAGTTTGCTCAAATCCAAGCAGATCTCCTATGGAGACATCTCATCCTGATGTGAAATGTCCAAGGCTCCCTTGTCCTCTGTTAACATAGCCCACTCAATAGCCACTTTCTGATGTCCTGCAATGTTTTTCTAATGCACTTTATTTCCTAGCCTGCCAAAGGCTGTCCCTCTCACCTCTGTTTTAACTGGAAAAGGATTTCCACCCCACGGCCCTGATTCTGGCTGAATTAATGGTTTTTGAACTGAATCAGCACATTTGAAGTTAAAACAGATCCCCACTGAGTCTGTACATTTTTATTACTGCGCAAGGAGTGCTTAGGAAAATAAAAGGAACGAGAAAGCCCTGAGAGTGGACCACCCTGTTGAGGGGGGAAATGTAGAAATCAAGCATGTTTATACGAGTGATATTTATAGGGTCAAGTGACATATATTGTACGAGGCCTTGGAGCCCAGCTCAGGAATACCACATACCAGTCTGGGCACTCATGCTCAAGAAAATTTAATTGAAACTGAAGCAGGTGCAGAGGAGGTCTACTAAGATGGAGAGGGAAATGGAAAGATAAGATGCTAAGGAGACATGAGAAAAAATGGCTTGTTTAGGCCATCAAAGCAAAGATGGCAAAAATGACTGGGATCTGAGAGCTGCCTATGAATGCACCAGGAGAGGGAAATAAACCAACAAGATAAATCAAAGGATCTTTTTTCTAGAATAAAGTAGCTATAATTACTTTTTATCTGGGAATTAGGTTTTTCCATCTATCAGGTAGAGAAAAGCTGAAGAAGCCTTCTACTTGGGTTAGTAAAAAGACATATTTGAAGATGGAGGTTGATAAATTGGGATGTTGGAGAGGAAATTATATTACAAGATAGAGAAGAATGGCTCAGTATCCCTGGGACTTCTTTCCTGACCAATACTCCTACCTGTGGATTGCTTTTATCATCTGAAATACTCTTTTGCCTTTTCCTTGCTAAGGACATCAGCACCTTTAAAATCTCCTGTCATTGTCATCCAAGAGCCCTCTGCTACATCTGCAAAGCTCCGAGCCCCACAGAACTGCTGTTGCTCCCAAATTCATCGAGGGGGTCACTGTCAGACAATGAGACACACTTGCTCCCACGGGGTTTGAATGAGCTGCTTTCTTTCAAAACACCCTTTAATTGACAGCTAGAAATAGCTTTCCATGATGACAGGCTGTCATTAATATCATTCACCAGAATGATACCCCAGTGATAGTCTCTGTGTTTAGAGGAAAAGAGAGAGAGAAATCCTCTGCAAACAAATGTTTCAACAGAATACGTGAACTGAGCTGTGGTTTCAAGAATGACAACATGAATATAAAAATGTACATTGTGAATATTAGTATTCCCTTAAATATGTACTCACGTTGGTTAATGAGTCCCACCGGTGGCGTTAGTAACTGAAGGATTTGGGTTGGCACGTTATTAACTTGTTAAGTAGAAAACAGTGATACAAAACTACTTGTCATGTGTATTATAAGACATTTAAAAGTTTCACTCAGCATAAGCAGCTGAACAGTATTAACAGAGTTGCCTTTAAAAAGATCTGATGTTTCTTTGTGCCATAATAATGTAAAATCCCATTGCTTTAAAAGGACCTGTGCTCCATGGACCCTTGGGAGGGAGGCACTGGGAGAAGGGCTGGGGAATGTCCCTCCTTCTCTGTGCTGAGCCAGCAGCAGGCAGAGACCTGACAGTTGATCTTGGGTTAGGATAAGCTCAGCCCTGTCTTCACACAGAGGATCCTTTGCTGCTGCCACATGGGGCCAGGGGGGTTCGTTCTGTATTTTCTGCCTTACCCTGCCCCACTGCTTTGCTACTTTCTAATCAAGCTCTGTCCATCTATCAGCCCAGTGGTGGCTTAACATTTGTGCTGAATGAAATGATGCTTTGTTAAGAGACCGTTGGGGTTTTAAAACAAATAAAACTTCAGGTAACTGCTGACTAGGTTGCTGCATCTGCTGGCAGCAGCAGAGGGATCCAGCCATAGGAGAGAAGGTCACAGCTGGAATCTGAGCTGATTTCCACCCAAGGTTTGAAGATAGTCTCTCATGTAAAATAGGGCAGAGCAGACACTGCCTCAGCATGGACCCAATTTCCTATGGGCTTCTTCTAGCCATCTCAAAATCTGTAAAGTAGGGCAAGCAATTAAGACACCAGAGTGACTCCTGGAACACGCTGCCTTGCTCTGGGATAGAGCTGGTCCTGAGGCAATGGGGTCACGGGACTGACGTGGGCTGTGCTACCTGGAATAAATAAGGTGGCCCTAATGAGCAACTGCCAGCCCTTTTGACCACTGCTCCCCACCTGCATGACCCAGTTTGTCAGCATTCCTTGCCTGGGGCCCCATGGCAGTTGGCTGCCTTTACTGGCACAGTCCCTTGGGGAGGGGAGCAGTTCCCAGTCAGGATGCTACAGGGGCCATGTGCATTGAAGGGCACGCCACAGGATATCTATTGATCACCCTCATTTATTTTTCCAGAAGCCTGGAGTGAGCCAGATTAATCTGTAGGTGACATTTTCAGTGGCCGGCAGTGTTCATTTGAGGCATAAGACAGGCTCAGACATGAGCAATACAGAAGTAGTGACAATATTTCATAAAATATGGCTTTCTTTGAATTGGTTTGGGTGCTGAGAGTTGTGCCAGATGAAATGCTCTCTGAAAGTGCAGGTGCTGAAGGGAATCTCATTGCTGTCCTGCAGTCTTTGGTAGACGACTTGTACGGGTCTCACAAGGGCCAGGGAGGCTGGCAGAAGCCAAGGTGTGGCCCTGGTTACTGCAAATAACTCAGCTGGGAAAAGGGGTTTTCCCCAAAGAACTGGGTAGGAGGAAATCCACTGCTGTACTGCCTGGGAAACAGCACGATGAAAAAAGGACATGCACACATCTATGAGCCATTCAGCATTTGTCCAGGAGGAAAACCACCTGCTGTACTGCCTGAGAAACCTGGGAAACAGCACAATGAAAAAAGGACATGCACACATCTATGAGCCATTCAGCATTTGTCTAGACCAAGGAATTACGTTTTACTGCAAGATGCAGAGGTCAGCAGAGGAAAGGCCTCTTCTCTTGCATCCTCTCAGAAGCACAGGCAGGCTGTGAGCCCTAAATTTCAAGGTTTGGGACTGCGGTGTAATTTCAGGCAGTTTCCATCCCTGCTAAGGGAGGGCCAGGGACAGATTGCTCAAGGAACACCACAGTGCAAAGGCCTTCAATTCACTCTCGTGGGCTCCTGGCAAACCATACATCAATCACCAATGACTTGACAAATCACAGCAATAGAGCTAAGCTTAGAAGTAAAATTTCACATTATCCTTGCTTATGTGGGTGGGAAGCTGAGAGATGCGAAATCTAAGAGGGCTTAAAGGAACTCTTACTATTATTAAATGGTTTGCTGTTGGTATTTTTATAGTTCTGACATGATACTTTCATGGTTCAGGCCTCTCAAGTTCAAGGCTGCACACAAACAGAGGAAAGGATAAATCCAGCCTGAAGAGCCAGCAACTCAATTAAAGGCAGGAGAACCAGGCAGATTGAGTCAGGCAGCCAGCCCACCTCGTGTGGAGCATCAGTCAGTGATCTCTGCACTCTGGTACTTATCTTTGTCCAGTATTTTAAGACATGGAGCCAGAGAAAGGCTTAAGGAATGATTTGAAGAGGAGAGAAAGACGACAGGTAGGATTGCTCCTGCCTGCAGCAAATGATGGGTAAGGTGGCCTGTAGAATCCTTCACAGTCCTATTTGCATGAGTCAGTGCTCTGAGTTTGTTCATCATGCATATGAGGAGCATCAGGGGTGTGCAAAGGAGCTGCTGGCTTCAAGTGTGGAGGTGTGAGTGAATGTGAGAAGGGAGGAAGGAAGCAATGAATAGGAGGGAATGGCCCCAGCTAGAGCCTTGTCATTGCAGCTGAGATTCCAAGAGTTATGGATGCCTCAGTAGGCTGAAGATTAGGTATCATTGCAGGTAAGCTCAGAGAATCACAGAATTGTTAGGGTTGGAAGGGATCTCTGGAGATCATCCAGTCCAATCCCCTTGCAAGGCAGGGACACCAGAGCAGGTGACAGAGGAATGCTTCCAGGTGGGTTTTGAACGTCCCCAGAGCGGGAGAATCCATGGCCCCCCCGGGCAGCGGCCGGGCATTCCCTGAAGGAGCGCGGCACAGCGGGCACGGATGGGGCTCAGAGCCCGCAGAGTGTGACAGCCACTGGGATCTGACACGAGCCAGTGTCGGTGCCAGCCGTGCGAGTGGAGGTGCCACAGCTCGGGGGTGTCGGGCAAGGCCCAGGCACGGCTCAGACGCAGGTTTCGCCTGAGGGAGATCAGTGAGCACAGAAGCCGGAGCCAGCAGGAGCTGAGGGAGGTGTCCTGGCCGTGCGGTGGGATGGCCCTTCAGGACACAGGGCGGGTAAGTGCTGGCCCCGGGGCAGACCAGGGGTCGGGTCGGCGCGGAGAGGATGAGGTTCCGCCGGGCACGGGGGTGGGAACCGGCGCTCGGGGACCCGGCGCGGCGTCGAGGCGCGGCCACGCGGCGGGGCCGGCCGCAGGGAACTACGACCCCCAGCGTGCCCCGCGGGGCGGCGCGAGCCAGGCGCCTGCGCGAGGGGGCCGGGGGCTGCGGGCCGGGCGGGGCCGGGGTGCCGGTGCCGGTGAGGAGCGGGGGCGGCCCCGGCCCGAGGGGAGGGCGCGGGGTGGCGGAGCCTCGTCCGCTCGACGGCCGGGTTGGCGGGCCCTGGTGCGACCCGCAGGGAGGCGGTGAGGGTGGCTGTGGCAGCAGTGCCCCAGGTCCCTGCTGGAGCGGGATCAGTTGCGTGCAGGGCTTGAGGAAGGGAAAACAGCCCGTGTGCCCGGGGGCTGGGCACGGGCTGAGCTGGAGGCAGCAGCAGCAAGGATTTTTTTATGTTTTGGGATGTGGAGGTTCATAGGTGGAGGTAATGAGGGAGTAGGAGGTTTGTTTTGGTTTGGGTTTTTTTCCTATATTCTTTGCCCTGTGAGATTGAACTGTTCACCTGTCTCAGATCTGGAGAGTGAAGTAAACTTGAGAAAGCTTGGGAGTACAGTCTGTTTACTTGTTTCCTGAGTGGCAGTAGGAATTTCTTCCCTTTTCTTTTCTTACTGCTATGCTGTTACAGGTGTTTCTTCCAAACTGAGATGGATGAAGAGGTGTTGTCATTTACTACTGATGTTCTGTCTTTTACAAGTCCTGTGTCTGGTGGATTTATGTAGTGATTGCTGGCCTGTTTGCCAATAAGTGTGACGTTTGTTTTGCTACTTCTTTACTTATATAGTTTCTTTATTGAGCTTTTGGTTCCAAAGATGGTAGATTGGAAGCTGCTGTTTAGTCTGAACTCTTGATATTCTTTCAGCTGCGATGCAAGGGGACCAGCAAGTTTTCTAATATGTTAATGCTTGCACTGTGTCTCAGGAAGGATGAGACATCCAGGGCTCCAGGAAGGTACATCTCCATAGCACTTGTCCCATCAGATGTTGTTAACAGCTGTTGGAGACTTTTACCTGATTTCTTTTTAATGGTAACTTGGATAGATTTCATCCTGTAGTGTCTTTTTGCGTCATTGTAGCATCTCATATCGCTCAATATTAAAGTTGGCATCTGAACTTTAATCCAAGAATGAATTATTCTGAAAGTCACTAGTGTGTTAAAAGTCTAGTTGATTAGTCCCCACTGTGTAGGCTTGGGTAATTTTATTTCAGATTTTTTTTTTTTACTTCAGATATTTTTGTTTCCATTTTGAAACACTGAATTCTGCCCTTTGCAGCTCAATTTTCACGTAAATTTACAGTATGGACCAGATGTTTGTTTTCTTTCAAGGAGTGCCCCTGTGGCCCTTTTATACATTCTTGTTCATCTCAAACTTTGAGTTGCTCTACATGAATAGTGTGTTTGGTTTGGGTTTTTTTGTTTTTTTTTTTGTAAAGTTAGTGTGTCTAGACAGATTTGAGTGGTACCAAAATCCAAAAGAAGAAAGTTATTAAAGCCTTTTAAAAAATGCCTATGTGCCTGATGCTAAATAAAGAAGACCTTGGATTGAATAAACACTGATAGGACCTGAAGTTTCCGTTCTGCACTTGAGAGATACTTCAGTTTGCTTTCTTTGGAGGGCCTGATTACAGCTGGTTTGGTGCTTATCTTGTTTTGATTCTGTTAACTTTGGTAGGCCTTGATTTGATTTTTTACTTTTTTTTTGAACCCTCTTAAATTTTGGAAATAGAGTTCTGGAAGATACTTAAATGTGTGAAGTATTTGCATTTTGCCCTGTCTCGGTGTCAGTCCTGGCCACCTGCAGTGGAGGGCCCCAAGGCAGGTGTGGTGACATGCAGGCAGATGGTGCAGGACTGCCCACTGTGCCTGGGCTTGCAGGGCAGCATGGAAAGCTGTAAGCAGCTGTGCTTTTGTCACAAGTCTGTCTTGGATCTGAAGCAGGTATTTTTGCTAGAAATGGTCCTGGTGTTTCACTGTAGTAGTGATGAGCTAACCTACCAGTATGGTGCCATGGCAAGCAGGGGAGTAAGGGAAGAACTGGACAAGCTGAGGCTCTTCAAGACATAACCTAGAGCAGAAGTGCTGGCTGTGCTGGAGACCATTTCCCTTCCCTAAGAGAAGTGATCTCAGCTGGCCTGAGGCCAGCTGAAAAGTTATGTTCTCCCTAGATGAATTGTAAAGATCCTTCTCTTCCAGCAAAAAAAAAAAAAAAAACCCAAAAAAAAACCAGCTGTACTTGTTGCAATCATTTTTTTCCCCTGTGGTTGAATATTAGGGTCAACACTTTCCCTGGCAGATTTTCTGGGTTGTATGGAAACCATGGCCCACTGTAGCTGCTGCCCTGCTTGGAGCCTTTGCCAGAGTACTGGCTTTCTTTTAACACTTTTGGAAGTCATTTGTGAAGATCAAAAGTTACCAGTGTATTGAGCAATGCAAAACTTGTTTCCCTGTATCCAGGCTGAGATTCATTTGGCACTCTCAGGTGTTAACCTTCATTTTTCAGATAATGAAGGTGTGCAGCTGTGGAAGTGGTTTGAACAACTGTGGCATCCATGTGTATGAAAATGAAGTAATTATGCATGCCAGATACCATCAAACAAAGGGTGGCCTACTATGTCTCCTTTCCACTGAATTAGGCCAGTGTGCAATAGTAGCTTTCACTGACTAGATGTGTAGTAGCTACAAATCTCTAGCTCTGGCAGTGGGAGCTGTGCTGAGGATTGAGAGTACTGAAGTGCCATAAATTGCAGAACTCATCTCGAAGACCAGGGCTGGGAAAGTTTGAATGAGAACTAAGGCCTGTTGTTTTTTGACAGTGAATGGATTGACCATTGGAACGAGCTGTCTGGAGGTAGAGGGGAACCTCCATTCTTTGTGCTCCAATTCAAGGCCACAAACTTTTCTGAAAGATGTTCAAGCCTTTGGGCTCGACTAAGGAAATGGAAACTTTAGGGCCAGCATTACGTGAGGTTGAGACCAGATGGTCTGATGGGCTTTGTGAATTCAGGTTTAATGTGTCTATGCTGCTAGAGCCAAGATAACTAACTTGTCCATTCTCTGCAAAGTGCCATGTCATCCCAGGTGTGTCTGTCCTGGTGTGAGTACATGGTTTGATGAGCAGCTGAGCTGACCAACAGCCCCAATGGCTCATCTCATTCCTGCTTCTGCCAGTGTGGACTCATCCTCTTCTTGGAGCTTTGGTATTCATCCACCCTGGCCCTGAGCTAATTCATCTCACTAAACCAGCCAGAAACTATAATCTTGTTTTAATTGTGTTTTATTCTGGCTGTGTTAGTCCCTTTTATAGGTTCCTGTGGTTGAATCAGCTTGCAGAAGGGCCAGACAGGCTCAGGAACTGGTGTAACGTAATCAGCAGGAGAGCAAGACCGAGAGGGAAGGACAGGCCTGCCTCCTTTTGGCCTCCCAGAACTGTTGGCTTGGTTAGCCTCATTTGTGTAGTTTCACACTGGTGCATTTTCTTATGGCTCCCAGGCAGAGGCAGGAGACTGGACTAGAGGATTTTTGGTCTGATCCTGTGAAACTGTTCTTTTCCTTAATAGCAGATCTGTTCTTCCTCTTTGGCTTTTGCTGTATGTGTCCCTGTTAATGCTTCTTTGTTTTAATTTTTGTTCTTTCCTTTCTCTACATTTCTTCTAAGTGACCAGTCCTTTGCTGTGTGGAACTTCTTCAGACTCCAGCTTAGACCCGTTTGCTCATCTGCAGTTACTCTTGGAGAAGGTTTAAAAATACACAGCAAAGCCTGTCTTAGGAGACCAGTCAAGGAGCTGACGAAAGTGGGTTGCCTAGCAGAGGTGGCCTAATAAAATTGGAGTGGAATTGTACTGTGCATCTTTGGGACGGCTTCTGGGTGGTCTGTTCAGACAAATTCATGTCCTGCTGGTGTGGAGTCTCATGTGGGTTTCACTGTGTTGTCAAGTGAACTGAGATGTGTTTGTTTCCCAGCTTTGTAGGGTGCCATAGCTCCAGCAAGTGCTTCCCTAAGTAATCAGCGCCTTCAGCCTTGCACATTGTGATCTCACAAGCCATCGCGTCTGTGATGTCACAATGGAAGAGATTCTGGTGCTCTGACATGTGGGGTCGTGCCTTTGACAAATCAGCCAAGGAACCCAGCGGCAAGAATGAGCTCAAGAAATGGGAGAGACCTTCCTTAACCCAAGAGTGCCCTCCATCCTTTAGTCAGCCTTTTCCGTGTTCACTTACCTCTTCCCTAATGGCCATACAGAGGGAAACCAGTGCCTGTATAGGGTGAATTAATTTTTTCAGTTGACCTACCATGATGCATGTTTCTCCCAGATGAGCAGTTGCCCAACTCTCCTCCTGTACCCCTCATTCTTTTCTGTTGTTCCCCTCACTTGTATTGCTTCTAATTTTAGACTGTAAGTTCTTGAGAACAGGGACCTCCTCATCTGTAGTGGGAAGAGCCTGGGTGTGATTGTGGAGTACTGTAAAAACAAAACAATGAATGCCAAGTTGTATCTGAGCTGAGTAATGATGGGGCAGCATATAGATGTGCCATGACATTACAAATTTTCCAAAACACAGGCGTGGTTGTCTAGCAGTGCTGGAGACAAACCCAGCCAAACGTGAAGGGAGTGCAGCCATGAAGTGTACTGTTCTCATGTTGAAGTGATGATACTGTGAGGTTAACAAATTAAAGAAAGAAGCAAATCTACCTGTCTAAAATTGTGTTACTTTATTAAACAGTTCTAAAAGCTTTGTCTTTTGTTATTTGTTTTACTTTATGTTGGTTGGGTTTTTTTTTGCAAGTTTGAGTGGTGAGAGTGGATAAGATGGTCTTGTTCATAGTCTCTTGTTTCCTGCCTCACAGGCTAGCTAGGTGCTGTCATTTTTGTACTGTAGTTCATCTAATGAAATATTTGGCTTTAGGTTAAAGTTGATTAAAAAACACCCTGAGTTATCTCTATTGTTCTTCAGTTATATTTTCACACAAGTGAAATATGGGCTCACATTTGACCTCTGAGTATGCATTTGAACAGCTACCAAAATTGAAGTCCTGCATTTTTTGTTATACTGTGTTCCAGGTGTCACTAAATGTGTGCAATTTTGTTCTGCAGAAAACATCTCTATTACCCTAACTTTTTTCCCTCCATAATTTAATAAAATAGACAAACCTGACTTACATTTTTGATTGGTTTGCATTGTTCTAGCCTTGAGTTCAGTTGGCTTTGGAGGCCAGGAGTCACAACTGCCCCTACCCAGGTTTTGCACAAATAATAAATGAAGTATTTTACTCCCAGAGCTTGCTTGCTTTTATTTTTTAATTTCAGTTTCTCTTGTAGTTTAGGTTAGTGGGGGCTTTTCTTGTTTGTTTTGTAATATGGTGGAGGACTGTCTTGTTATAACGAAGTAATTTAACATGCAAGTGAAGACTCTTATAAAATGTAATTTCTTGGGTCAGCCCGCCAATATGAAGTTAGGTGTTGTCTTCCTGCCCCTTCTCTACTCAGCTTCTCAAACTGGAAAGTAAAATTGAATATTTTGGGCTCAAAGGCAAACTGTAATTTTAATTAGATGTAGTTGTAAAAAGTTCATATTCATCTTATGTGCCAGGAGTCATTAAGCTCAAGTTCTTAGTGGGCTAATTTGTCCTGCCATTGATGAATTTGAGTCCTCTGGAGCTTGTGTGGTGCACATCTCTGTGGCTTTGGGGCTGCCCTGCAGGCAGGGGATAGCATTTGCACTGCCCTGCTGGCTGTTGTCACCAGCATTCTTCACGTGGCAGGAGTTCCCTGTCTTGTTCCCTGCCACTTTGGTTGTCCCTAAGCAACTTTCCCAGCAGGAAGCCTGGCGTGCAACAGCCGCCAGTGCAGATTCTCCGCTTCGCACTCAGTGGGGCCCCTGGCAAAGCTGATGGCTACAGCTGACACTTGCCTTTCTCTTGGCTTTCCTTCCTTACTGGCGATCAAACTGTCATGCTTTAGTACCATGTGCTTGGACTGCTAAAGAAGCAAAAGCTGTGGTCAGCCTGAACTTGCCTTGGTACCTGCAGCTCATGTCCAGAGAACGTTTTTTTATTAATTTATTTTTAAATGTAGATGCTGATTTTAGCCAGTACTGTCATATGGAATGCCCAGTGTTACACAGCACAGAACACAAACTATCTTCCAGCTGAAACCCACCACATACGGCCATTTCCCATCTTACTGCGTGTAGCAAATGTAAAGTGCTGTCACATTTTCCTAGGTCTGTGTACAATCTGTCAAAATAATTCCTGAGGTCCAACCTCAGTTCATGGTCCCATTACATTTCATACGTATCTGTGTGAGGAATTTGAGCTGTGTGATATGAAATATTAACCTAGTAAGGTTGACTGCCAGATGTGACAGCTTGCACTGTCTGAGATTATAATCTGATCCTGTGTGTATAAGAAATATATATATGGTGTTTTATGTAGGTTTGGAAATGGAATCACTGAACATGTGGATTTATATGGCTAGAGCTGGGTTTTTAATTTTTGAAGCTGCATTGCTTGCATCGTTTTCTCTTGGAAAAAGTACAGGATAATTACTAGTGCTTTGCATTGTCATAGCCATTATAAATGCTTTACATGACATCTAATAAAGTGTGTTTGCTCACCAGCTATCTAGTGCTCTGAGGCACTCTGACCTTGCCAAAGAAGATGATGTGAGGTCTTCCCAGGGCACCCAGAGCAGTGGCTGGGTAAACATACTGTTAAAACTTCATTTGGCTGAAGGTGCAGAGTTTGCAGTGGGGTTACCCTTGTTTGTATGCTGCCTGTGTAGGGAAGTCCACATGCAATATCCCACTCACACACCTTTGTTCAGAGCACTGCTCCCTCTGCTACAGAGGAGAGTGGGGAGGGAGGCTGCTTTTAGGATGGGGAGCCCGATCCTGTTGCTAGACGTGGACCACTGCAGAAGCTGTTAATGTAAACAGGCACTGCATGCTGGCTGTTCATTTCCTCCACGGATGTCACGTGGTACTTTTGTGACCCTGACCTGCCATGCCAGAGTCTGGCATGGTGCTGCTGTGTCTGCGTGGGGATGTGCCTGAATCCTGCCAAGGCAGCTGGTTTACCTTTGCCATGGACACAGTAGCTCTGCACCACTGTGTGTAGTGCAACTCAGCCTGAAGATTCATGGGGTCTGTGTCAGATACCCTGGTCTTGACAGTTCAGATACATTAGAGAAGAGATCTTGCTGTGGGTGGGTGGATAATACGTGTTTTATTGCCTGTGTTTGATAGAGGGGTTGAAGCCTGTCTGCCTCCCCCACTCCAACAGTCTATTTTATTTGATGCAGTAGGCTAAAGACCAGGTTTTCCTGCAACTAATTTACAAGCTACTTTATTCTGAGATTATATTTGTTGTGATGGGCCTTTAAACTCATAGTAGTTAGAAGATTTAAACCATGTATACCTTAAATATCTTTTATCTGGCACATGTTAGAAGAAAATAGAAGTAATTTCTATTTGGCTCTAATGCATTTATGAATGACGGCCAAAGCTGTAGATGAAAAGGCAATTGGTAGAACTGAGCCCCTTTAAAATAAATGCCATGTTGGGCTCTTCATTTTTGGTTTTGCAACTTGAATTTTCAGTTTTCAAGGTACCTGCTGTCTGGCACATTGCTTTGGTTTTGCAACTTGAATTTTCAGTTTTCAAGGTACCTGCTGTCTGGCACATTGCTTTAATAAAGCAAACAGCTCCAAAACATGAAAGCCTTGAGGCAGGGGCAATGCATATATGCCATGGAATTGGCAGTGTGGGCACTGGCTTGGTCTTAAACATTTCGACTTCTTTGATTTTTGCCTTTCACTCAAAAGCTTGGAAAGGGAAGCTTACCAAATGCGTGTTTACTCGAAGCACACAACCTGCTTAGCCGCAATTATCTCCTAATCTGGTCCTTCCGAGTTTCTCTGGTCTCGCAGGTAAATACAGATTTAGCCGTTATTCAAGGCATATTATTTACCTCATTAAGTGTGTGTTTTGGCACGTGCATTATTTACCTGACAGACTAACGGATGGGAGAGAGCAAATGCTGTCTTTTGTGCAAACAGTGACTTTGTTCATGAGCAGCAAGTTCCCATTTTGCCGTGGCCACTTTGTCTCCTTGTCTCATGGCGGGTGCTTCTATCCCTGCATGGTAGGCATGGTAGAGCAAAAAGCCAGCACAGGTGTGGGGGTGCCATGCTCATAAAAGGGCAGGTGGGTGGCATGTCAAGTGATGGAGTTCTTCCACAAGCAGTGGGACCTGCTGTGGGGATAGGTTTAAATATCTTATGTAGCATGATGTGTATGTATATATATGCATACACAATTAGAGGGGGTACTCCTATCCTTCTTCAAGAGGACTGAGTTGGTGCAATTTGCTTGTTTAGCTATCAGTCCCTGTACCCACCCGTGTAACACCATGAACTGGTCTTGAATTCTCATCCCTGTAGATCTATTAACGGCCCTGAGGCTGACCCATCTTGGATAGTGACAATCCTGGCAACTTTTTCCTGCAATGTTTTAGAACAAAAGTAGCAGGAGGGGAAATCCAGGTCATCTCAACATGGATAATGCAATTTATTTAATAGTGTTTGTTAGATGAAAGTATCAGAAGGTGATGGCTGAGTGAGGTATTTCTTTGGGAGGAAGACTGTAGCCTATAGAGTCCTGCTTGCATTTTACACTTCCTGCAGTACTTGCGTGTGATTAGTTGAACTGATAGCCTCCTATGGGAGAAATACCTGAAATTAGAAGGGGAGTGTAGCACTGAAATCACATCTCTGAGAAACCTTGTATACAGAGCAAATGAGAACTTTCCTGGGGAGGAGCCTTCCAGCCACCAGCCACCTGGATTTGTAATGGAAATGCCATGTTTTGGTGCAGCTGGCAGATGTTTCAGGGTCAAGCTGTTTGGATAAGATGTAGTGTTGATATGTGTATTGCTGTGTTTAATTTTTACCCTTGTATATGAAAAGATAAAAGGCCTCAGAAATTTCAACAGGGTTTAGATTGGATATTCTATGTTTTAATTGTTTTGTGTTATGTTCTGCTAATGAGGTTCAGCAGTGGGGTGTGATCTGGTGCCTGGAGCCATGGCTGTTGTGTATGTCTAGTTCTTAATTTAGAGTAGTTTGCAGAGGTTAATTTTCAGTTGCCTGTGATTCTGGACACCTTGAGCTCAATCCAAATGTCATCTGTTGTGCTTAGAGCAGGTTACTGTGTTTTTTCAGGTTTGTGATGCTGGAACGTCCACTGGGAAGCACAAAGGGAATTCCTGTCAGAGGAGGATGAACCAGTAGAGATAAGATGTAGGTGTGCATGAGTAACGTGAGTCTCTCTTCAGTTTCAGATGCCTCTGGATGTTCAATGATAGCACTTCTCCATACTGGAGCAGCAAAGTTTCCCCCAAACTTACTTTCAAGGTCAAGACAAGCTGTGTCCCCCCTCTTCCCAGCTGGTGTTCTCGAAGGGTTCCGCTCCATCGTAAGCAGGAAACTGGCGTCCCACGGCTTTGGAGCTTCCATGGCAGCAATGTCATCCTTCCCTCCACAGAGATATCACTACTTCTTAGTGCTGGATTTTGAGGCTACATGTGATAAACCGCAGATTCATCCTCAGGTAAATAGTTAATCATGTTAATTATTGCCTTGCAAGTTACTGCTGCTCTTCTGAGAGGTAAAAGAAAAAAACAGTGCTGGCTCACTAATTTTTTCTGGTTTGTCCCACCTCCTTTCTGTTGCTGG